AAAAGAAAGGCTTGTAGACGTTTGGGGGGGGGGGGAGATTATCTTGCCTAAGCTTGGCCTATACGTGATCTATAAATATGTAAATTTCATGTTAACAGGCAGACTAGATATGCTGAAAAGGTAGCGTGGAATAAGCTAACAAATGTAATGTAGATATTTATTTATTATTTATTTTGTCTATTGACATGGACATTGAATAAAAAAATATAGGAGGTGTTGGTGTATTATAAGTCTAAAGGTATTTGCAGATAACACTCATGTGGATACCGCTCTGATGGAATGGGTATGGTCATTTATCATTCATATCTATTGCACTAGCGGAGTGGGGCGGGCAGCCCTATTCCTCTATTTAATGAGTGGCATTTTTTTGACAACTGCGGAGATTTTGCGTGTGGTCTGGGGGGGGGGGGGGGAAAAATCTTGCCCCCCCCCCCCCACTCTTTTTATGGTACTAACCCAAGCTAAGCCACTGACCTATTGTGACTGATTAAAAAATCACGGTGTGGTGTGGTGTGGTGTGGTGAGTCCATATAGATTTAGGATGTGGCACGAATATGATATAATTTACTGTCATTTATAGACTTTTATCTGAGGAGTCTTAGCATTGACATATATAGGTTACACGTGTAATTACATAGGCTCGTATGTATCGTCTCTGTTATTTGCACTTAATGATGGTATAGTTATGTCGAATCATGGTATAGTTCTGCCGTCTGATGGTATAATTCTGTCGTTAACTGACCTCTAGCTCCGTACCACGCGATCCGCTCATGTTCCTTAGAGTGGCTCGGAGTTGCCAAGGAAAAAAAAAAGGCGGAGGAGTCACTTGTGACGTCTTCCGTGGTCACTAGTCTCGGAGAAGTGGTGCCCCCACTTTGATGGGGGGAAGTGGGAGGGGGCACGTTACGCGCAGGTCCTGGAAGTCAAGTCGGGCCTTGGGAGTTGGTTAATTTCGCTCTGTGCTGAACCATGAAATGTCGCCCCCTTTTAAACGCAGGTATGTAGAATAGACTTTCGTGGGATTGTTACACTGTGGCATTGTTGTCATCTCAGTCGTGTTTACTCGGGTAACGGTGTGGAGTCAACAAGGTATCACGAAGACATGTTTTATAGATGGGTTTGATATGTTAGTAAATTATCGAATCAAACGAATGAGTTTTACATCATTAAAATCTTCATATAAACTGAACGTGTTATTTGATCTTATTTCAAAGATAGTGTAGCTATTATAATTAGGATTATGCTGAAAAAAATTCTAAGGTTGCACAATGTCGAACAAAAAAATAACTTAGATAAATATAACTTCTTTAAAATAACAACAGCCCTTAGATAAAGAATTAACTAGGGACTACCATACTTTTCTCTATGAGCTCTCGACTCACGCATCAACATACTTGGATTAATAGTTCGCTGTTAATTTCAAATGACATTTGGTGACGTGTGGATTTAATGTGTAGCAAGGAAACTAAAAGAAGAGAGGTTCTCTAGCTGTGGTCGTGTAGACATGGGCATAATGTGCAGTGCGGAAAGAAAGAGAGGTTCTCTATCTGTGGTAGACATGGGCATAATGTGTAGCATGAAAACTAAACAGAAAAGAGGTTCTAACTGTGGCAGACACGGGCATCCAATCGATCCATGTGAACGTCTCATTAAAACTAATTCATTAAAGACATTTGTTAGGAAATGTTTATCTTTTTATTGTAATACTGTATAATAAAGAAAAGACCTCACCAATAAGCCAAAACACACACACAAAGCATTCGACTTTTTAAATGCATTACAGCAATCTACAAGTTGTGTGTATATTTAGGTTAATAAATGGACTAGTTTTAACAAATGTAATATTATAAGTAGAGATTTAGTAAAAGAAATATGTATTACCAGTGTCATTATTACTCAGTATATAACGCGAAATATGCAGGAAATAGTGTTACATGTATTTAGTAAACCCCCGTAGCATAAAGTCCCCCCACCCCCCAAAGCGACTCCGGGCAGACTCCTTCCACTACAACGCACCAAGGGAGCTAACCAATGACACTATGGCTCACACATGGGGCTGAGCAACGACACTGTGGCTCACACATGGAGCTGAGCAACGACACTATGGCTCACACATGGAGCTGAGCCATGACACTATGGCTCATACACGGAGCTGAGCAATGACACAGTTTTATGTCCCATTTCTGAGGTTTTTGCAACCACATTTCTAGCATTCGTCATTTCTATCGCTCTAGCATTGTATCATGCCCTGGCAACTCAAGGGGGGTTTATTAGACCCTTCAAGTTCTATCGCTGCTCTTATAGAATCGTAAATACAATGCAATATGTAAATACAAAGAATGGTCTGGGAGCTAGAGGGAATGTTTACAGGGGCGGGTCCAAAAAAGATTAAACTATGTAAACGTGATATAAATTGTCAAGCCTTAATATGAAAATATAGCACTAATTTCCAGTTTATGTTTTACACTAATTTACACATATTCCTTTCTGTATTTTGGAGGGTAAATGAAATTGGCTTGAACCTTGGTGTAAGCACGTCACAATACGCTACTAACTGTGAGGATACGGCATTCTTTTTCTTTTTTAAAAGGAAAAAAAAAGGGTCTTTTACCCTTGAAACATACGGGTCTAGAACTCCACGGTGGTAACACTTCTGTATAGGGGCTTTAGTTCGGCAAGTCGATATGAATGGATGAAAACACAATCAAGGGACGCGGGGGGTTGGGTTGGGGCGGGAGGGTGTGGGGGCAAGAGGAACCAGAGCGTAGCAGTATAAGTCGACATTCCAAGAGGGAAAGGTCTTGCTCAAAACTTGAGTGGTGATAGGAGCAACGGGTGCCCAGCCTTTTGACAATTGGCTCCTCTGTGACAATTGCCCTCTGTGACAGTTGCCTTGCCCCCCCCCCCCCCCGTGTGATAGTTGACCCCTAGACGGTGAACTTAATGCCAGCAATTTTTGAGTGTTTACAAGTCGCGTTCACTCTGATCCGCGTGGAGCGGTTCATTTGAAGGCGATGCCATTCTGTGTTTGTTTGTTTTTTTTAAACTGATCTTCGCGTTACGAAAAATAATCACATCATCCATAGACGCACGTGTGAGGACAAACACAATATTTTAATCCACAGTCAAAAGAACAAAAACCATCATGGTAATTCAATGCTCCGTGCATTTTATGGGAATTTAAGATCAAAATTAATTAATTATAAAAAAATTCCAAGATTTGAGTGGCATCATTGACTTTTTTGATGGAGTGTGCCGCGTGCCTAGTCTTTCTGGACTAAGTTATTCATATTTCAATTCGAGCATAACTCAATCCAGCACTTTAACTTCCTGAAGTCAAAATTTAGATAATGTGTGTTTTTTTTTTCTGTGTTTGATGAAACTCCTTTCAGTAGTTATTCAGTGATCTAGTGGCTATTCGGTGTTCCGTTTGACGTTTTTAAGGATTTCAGAAGGATAAGAAAACAATAAGACACTTAAATAGCCAGGTGAGAAAATCTGTCATCCATCTTTACGCTTTTAATCCTAGTAATGTAGGATTATGTTTTTAAAAAGATTTTGTTAGTTTTTGTTGTAAAATATATATATATATTTTTTTTTTATCAGGTTTTTTTAGATTACCACATTGTAGATATCTGCTTTTTTTCAAATGATCCCAAATTCACACTCGATCTGGTCAAATACTCCTGACTCAAAACCAATTGACAATTTGTGCAGCCTTGTGGATGTGTGAATTTAATGCGTATGCAGGTTTAAGTATAAAATAAAAGCCAAAAAACATGTAGGATGTCTCATATGACCCACTCCTTTCATTTGGAGCGCTACATTCAGTAAAAAAAAACGTTCCCCTATATTTTTAGGAAAGGTTATACTATGTCTACAGGATGCATACAGATACGTCATGTTTTGTAGTATTTCTTCTACTGGTACGTCACATTTTGTAGTATTTCTGCTACTGGTACGTCACGTTTGTAGTATTTCTGCTACTAGTACGTCCCGTTTTGTAGTATTTCTGCTACTGGTACGTCACGTTTTGTAGTATTTCTGCTACTGGTGCGTCACGTTTTGTAGTATTTCTGCTACTGCTTCTTTTCACTGTGAGATCTCTTACTGTGTCTGTGTCACATTTTTGTTGTTGCCGGTACAACATGATGCACATGAGGTCAAGGGTTACCACAGAGGTCGCCATTTCAGTTGTGACATGCATAAGAGTTATATAATATTTCTTTCTGATGCAATCTTAACATACCATCTACACAACATACCATCCCCTCAGCTGCATTGCACGCCGTCTCTATTTAGCAACACTATTTATTCTACAACGGCAAGAAACTCATTTTTTTCATGACCCTCATCGCGTAGCGACACAATTTAACAACGTACTTCTCCAGGTCAGGTTTCTCCAGTCTAAACTTTCAACAAAAAAAAAATCATATTTCACTCTAATCCTCAGAAACTCATCCAGAATTCGTCACGCTTGAGTGAAAAGGTTCAAGCTTCGTTCACTCCCAGCTCTCTGCGCACTTATGAAAGTTGTGCCCTAACCTCATCAAGTTTCATGGCCGAGAATTTCTGGAGCATATTTCGATCACGCCCCATGGTCACCTGAAAGCAAGACCTCGCTGCTCAGCGTTGAAATCTGCCGTATGGGTTACCATTGTGTCGGAGGATTATTTTAAAACATGGCGACTGCGTCAGCACGCTAGCACAAATGTAACACAATCTCCTATCTCTATTATAAAGACACTCTCAAAACGTGATTGAACAATGTCTTCTGGGAGATATGATTTGGAAAGTCGGAGGTCAAAGACCTTTGGCCTTCTATCGCAAACCAAAGGAACCTTTCGAAAACTTGATGATCAGCCTATCGCTGGGATCCACCTACACCGTTCTTTAGATGAAGGAATGCTGGACAGAGATGTGTTGCATCGACGTGATGCAACTGAAACCCTGACATACAATGAATGCGCGGTGGACGTTGAATTTCCAGGCAGGCCAAAAGACGCCGTCGATGGGAAGAAGTTAATGCTACAGGAAGCGACACCGGCGAACGCAACGACCGTAAAAGAAGGCAGCGTCCTTAAATCCCCTTCTAGTCGACAAGAAGAGCCAGGTGTTACCAAACCACCATCGCCGCCCGGCAAGACAATTCACAAAAAATCGAAATCTTTGGACGAAAAGACAAAGTCGGATGACCGGGACAAGAAACACGGCGGTTTTCTGGAGAGGCTGACCAAAAGCTGGCGCAGGCGAGATGGGGATGAAGCTCTGAGCGAGGGAGGGAGCAAGAAGAAAAGAAGGAAGGACGATCACCACTCTGGCAGCTCGAGCTCTTCGGACTCTGACGGGAAAAGTGGCAAGGGGAAAAATGGAGGTCGAAATGGGGAAGAAATGTTCGAGATAAAATTAGCAAACAGTGAGTCCCAGGCCTCGCTGGACGCAAAGTTGCATTACGACCTTGAAGACGGCACCGTCGTTCCGATTTCTGAGTTCAAGGTCAATGATGAGATCGACCAAGGCAAAACTGTGTTCCCCACACCGGAAATAGCCCCGCTACTTAAGTACCAGGACAGCAATGGTGGGCCGCTTCCTGCTGTGAAGGCCTCACCAAAGTACACGTCGTTCGCTCAAGATTCCATTTCGGACGAGGAGTCGCCTGGTGGTGAGAGAGAGGGACACGAGAGATGTGACACCAGCAGCGAGGACAGTGACGTCGTAGTGGACATGACACCCAGTTCTTGCTTTTATGATACGCTGGCTCATGAAAAGCCCACCGAGCATGTGTATGATAAGCTTGAATATAAAAGCCAAGAGGTTTCTCCGTACGAAGAAATTGTGTTTGGCAACGATGCTGTAACAATCAACATCCCTGTCATCTCTATAAATCCTGACAAAGTCATTGACCCATTTCCGATTTCCGACGATAATGGTATCGATGCCTGTTTAACATCGATCGTTTATGAAGATTTCGACAAAGATGCTTCTCGCCATGGAGAACAACGCATCGATACCGACAGCTGTCCATTAGGGGAGGATAAGAACCATCACCCTCCTACTGACGTGGCCAATCATGTTCTAAACATTGACAACATCCGCCAAAGTGCCAAGAAAAGGAAGACTTCAAGCTCAAGCTCATCCAGCTCCGCCTCTTCCATAACACACCCTTCCAAAAGGGAGGCGCTTTGCCCTCCCGACACAGAGACACCCTTCCCTCCCGACACTGAGGCGCCCCTCCCTCCCGACACAGAGGTGCCCCTTTCTCCCGACACCGAGGCGCCCCTCTCTCCCGACACAGAGGCGCCCCTCGCTAACCATCAGTCCAAATCCAACAAATTCAAGACATTTAAACTGGAGGCCACCGTCGTCATCAGCCCAGACGACGATCTAAGCGAGAACACCATGACCTACTTTGGTCCAGTGTTCCTCAAACCACAGAAGGGCAACGGGGAAGAGTTCTTCAAAGTCGTAGTCGCCCCTAACTCCGATCAGACGTCAAAGATGGCAATCAGACACGAGGACGCAGTGGTTGCGGGCTTGAGTGGGCAGGCTACCCGTGGTGGTGAGTAATGACCTTATTCCTTGCAAACCGTGATATAAATTTGGGGCGCTAGTAAGTTGTATCTACATAATTTGACGTCACGGGGTCCTAGCAAGCTGCTACAAATTTGGTAGACTTTCATTTCATTCATCTGTCTAAAATACGCTACCTAGAAAACGTTTTTATGAAAAATAGTATTCCAAATATCTTAATTAGGGACATCTGCTTTTTCAGTTGGCAAAATTATGATTTGGTTCTCGAGGCTTGACTTTTAAGATGTACTGTTTTTTTTAGGGCAAACTTTTCTTCTTCATTTAATAGGATGATTAAATAAGTATGAAATTCTAAGAAGTTTAAAACGACTTCATTCTTTTAAAAGAGTAAACATTAATTTCTCATAATTTCCAAAAAAACATTTCCGCGAAGGCTCATTAAATGATTTCCAGTCAAATACTTCAGCATCTCTTTGAAGCCTTTTAAAACGTGAATACTCTCTTCGCCTCCAGTTTCGTACCCATTTTCAACCTTGATTGTTAAAGCTATGTGTCATCCACTAGAAGAAGGAAAAAACAAAAACGTCTTCAAATATTAATAACAATTCCACCAAACGTGATTACAAATAAGATATTTCCAAATGCTTGGCGCACGTTAAAGGTGTGGCCACCATCAGAGGCGGGGAAAAAAAAAAAAGGAGGGGGGGGTGAAAGTCTTTTTTTTTTTTTTTAAATCTTTTATATTTCACCTTTTCCTTTCTTTTTTTTTTAAAAAAAAAAAAAAAAAAAAAAAAAAAAAAAAAAAAAAAAAAAAAGGAGGGGGGGGTGAAAGTCTTTTTTTTTTTTTTTAAATCTCTAAGATCTAACAGTATCGGATCTCTTTATTGTTCTTCTGTTGGTCTATCCTTGCGCCGTACCGAAATATTTGAGCTCACTTGAATCTCACCTTACCACCGCATTGTTTTTACAACCGTCTCTACGCACCGGTGTGTTTCCGTGCCTGCGCATTTTGATGCTGCCCACAATTCTAAGATCTCTGGCATGGACGAAGTAATCAGTGATTGAGTCGCCGCGCCCGGCCAGCCCACGTGGACAAATTACTATGCACATGTTAATGGATAAAGGTTAATCTTAATAGCTCCGTGATATGAATACACGACGAGTTGAAGTTGGACAAAAATGTGATGCAGGAATGTCAAGAATTTTATCATGGCCAACCTGCCACACCTTGATTGACCCCAATAAAAACTTTTCAAAGACTGGATCATTCATTTGCATGCGTATTATTTTAAAGGACAGAGTTTTACTTGGATATGGAGTCAGACTTGTCCGTGGTGGGATTGTCTTTAAAAATATAAACGTTCCCTTCTTTTAACTAATAAAAATGCAAATCTTATAGGCCTAATGGAAATGATAAAACACAGTGGCGTGCCTAGGGTTAGTGACATCAGGGGCGGGACGAGAAATTTTCCGCCTCCTACCATGGAAAAAATATCGGCAGTTGGCCGAAAATGCCGCCCCTCCATATGGAGAAAACAAATCCCACCTCCGGTACGGACCCTTCCCGCCCCTTCCCTACCCCACTTATAAAACAGTCCATTTATAGCAGGACATAAATTTAAAAAATATGGTATTTATTATGAAATGGCAATAGCCAGAATTTGTAGCGCCCGAGGAGGTCCTGGACTCACATGACATACATATGTCACCCGAGGAGGTCCTGGACTTACATGACATACATATGTTACCCGAGGCGGTACCGGGGTTAAAAGACATACATGTCACCCGAGGAGGTCCTGGACTTACATGACATACATATAAGAAATTGCAGTCCAGGCGGACCGACCCTTATTCATATGCACCCCACACCACCCCCCCCCCCCCACCCAACCTCCTTTTTTTTTTTAGCTGGACATGACACTACAATTTCACCTGGTGTCAGTGGGATAGGGGCGGCATTTTCGGCCAACAGCTGAGTTCTGTCTTTTTTTTTTTTTCCTATGAAGAGGACGGCATAACTATCGGTTCGCCGCGGGTGTCAATAAAACTAGCTTGTGCTCTGCGTAGAGTCCCACAACCCTCCCCTGTGCGAACACACTCTCTTTATGTGATGGGAACACCATGAACCTTCGAGAAGCGGTCACGAGAAGCGGTTATATGCATGGTAAAGATTCATTTCCCACCTTCGGGCATTTGATCAACTGACCAAAGAAAGTTAATGGATCAATTAAGTCTATTAAAATGACAATGTACCAACTTGACACCCGGCTTATTGCTCGAACCAGAGACCATGGTTTGATGGACGGATAGCGACGGGAGGGTTGACGTGCTCCTGGTCACTTTGTTCCTCCCATTAATCAGGTGGCGCTTAGAGAAGGACGAAGTTGTTTAATACAGACAACAACAAAAAGCTCACACTGATTGTTTTTTTTTTTTTTTTTTTTTTTATTTTTTTTTTTTTTTTTTTTTTTTTTTTTTTTTTTTAATTCTTTATTTTATTTTTTCATTTTTTTACATTCTTTCACAAACCAAACCAAAAGATAGCATGTCATCTACATCGGGTCTACCAGAACTAGTCTAATCAATAAGATTATTGTGTATGGGATGCTGTTGATACAAATATTTTAAAATATTCTTTTGAAACATATTCTTCTCCTATCTTGTTTCGCTACTACATTAAACCAATCAAAGTCTAGTGATCTATCAACATTTTTTGTTCGTGTTTTAAATTTTATTCTGAGTGTTTGGTTCACATTTCCCCATCTCTGGCACCCCACATCATTTGTATCAGGGCGTTTCCCGTCACTTTAGTGATCCGTGTCAGATCATGGCCACCGTGCCACGTCATTAGATTGGTGTCAGATCAATGCAACCATGCCACGTCATTAGATTGGTGTCAGATCAATGCCACCATGCCACGTCATCAGATTGGTGTCAGATCATTGCCACCATGCCACGTCATTAGATTGGTGTCAGATCAATGCCACCATGCCACGTCATTAGATTGGTGTCAGATCAATGCCACCATGCCACGTCATCAGATTGGTGTCAGATCATGGCCACCGTGCCACGTCATTAGATTGGTGTCAGATCATTGCCTCCATGCCACGTCATTAGATTGGTGTCAGATCATGGCCACCGTGCCACGTCATTAGATTGGTGTCAGATCATGGCCACCGTGCCACGTCATTAGATTGGTGTCAGATCATGGCCACCATGCCACGTCATCAGATTGGTGTCAGATCATTGCCACCATGCCACGTCATTAGATTGGTGTCAGATCAATGTAACCATGCCACGTCATTAGATTGGTGTCAGATCATGGCCACCGTGCCACGTCATCAGATTGGTGTCAGATCATTGCCACCATGCCACGTCATTAGATTGGTGTCAGATCAATGTAACCATGCCACGTCATCAGATTGGTGTCAGATCATTGCCACCATGCCACGTCATTAGATTGGTGTAAGATCAATGCCACCGTGCCACGTCATCAGATTGGTGTCAGATCATTGCCTCCATGCCACGTCATCAGATTGATGTCAATAATTGACAGTCAGAGTTCATTTCTATGTCAACAATGTTAAGCATTGCTTATTGCTAATGATATTGTTGACATTTTCCATTCCTAGGTCAACAATACTTCTTGCAAATGATTTCGTTATCTGTAATTAGATTGGTGTCAGATCATTGCCTCCATGCCACGTCATCAGATTGGTGTCAGATCATTGCCACCATGCCACGTCGTTAGATTGGTGTCAGATCATTGCAACCATGCCACGTCATCAGATTGGTGTCAATCATGCGGCCATGCCATGTCATTAGCTTGGCGTCAAATCATTGCCACCAGGCCACGTCGTCAGATTGGTATCAAATCATTTGCATCATGCCACGTTGTCAGATTGGTGTCAAATCATTGCCATCATGCCATGTCATTAGCTTTGTATCAAATCATTGCGGCCGTGCCACGTCATTAGCTTGATGTCAATCAGGGCGGCGATCACATGTCATTAGATTGGTGTCAAATCATTGCCGTCATGCCACGTCATTAGATTGGTGTCAATTGATTGCAGCCTTGTCATGTCATTAGCGTTGTGTCAGATCATTGCGACAAGAGGAAAAGTCTTGTAGGTGATTGTTTGTGTGTGTTTGTTATTATTATGTTTAATAAAAAGTAAATAATTTAAATAAGCATGGCTTTTTTTTTTTTTTGATTGTGTGTTTCGGGTGATAAGCAATGGATTTGGAGTTTTGTATATGGGACAGAAAGATGTGGGAATTAGAAGACTTTAAACAAACTATAGAAACCTACTACTATTATTCATACCAAATTTATTTTCACATTTTTTTTTTTTGTTTAGAAGGATGTTTTAAAAACATTATCCCCCAAGTAAATATCATTGTCCACTTATCATGATTGTATCTGTTGTTGATTGTCTTTTTATTTTCTTCTTCATATTTTCCATTTCTATGTCAACAATGTTAAGCATAGCTTCCTGCTAATGATATTGTTGACATTGTCAATTTCTATGGAAACAATGTTAAGCATAGCTCCTTGCTAGTGATATTGTTGACACAGTTCATTTCTATGTCCATAATGTTAAGCATAGCTTATTGTTAATGATATTGTTGACATTTTCCATTCCTAGGTCAACAATACTTCTTGCAAATGATTTCGTTATCTGTCAAATATAAATCGTTAATTTGGATAGCTAAAATGAGTATGGACTGTACATTATGTATCCCTCGCATGGCGTTGATTGCATTGCATCCATCGGATGGCGTTCATTGAATGTATCCATCGGACAGCGTTGATTGAAATTTATCCATCAGACGGCGTAGATTGAAATGTATCCATCGGAGAGCGTTGATTGTAGTGGATGCTCCGTTAATTTCGTTGTCATTCCTAAATGCTGTAATTTTAATTGTATCCATTAACCTTTTTGGTATTTGGTGAACCATGACATAGAGGGAGATCAAGGGGACTGTTTGGTGAACCATGACATCGAGGGAATCAAAGAGGACTATTTGGAGAACCATGATATCGAGTGAGACAAAGAGGACTATTTGGTGAATCATGACATAGGGGGAACTACAGAGGACTATTTGATGAACCATGACATAGAGTTAGACAAAAGGGTCTATTTGGTGAACCATGACATCCAGGGAGACAAAGAGGATTTTTTGATGAACCATGACATAGAGGGAGACAAAAGGACTATTTGGTGAACCATGACATAGAGGGAATCAAAGAGGACTATTTGGTGAACCATGACATAGAGGGAGATAAAGTGGACTATTAGCTAAATCATGACATAGAGGGAACATAAGAGGACTATTTGGTGAACCATGACATAAAGGGAGACAAAGAGGACTGTTTGATGAACAATGACATAGAGGGAGATAAAGTGGACTATTAGCTAAATCATGACATAGAGGGAACTTAAGAGGACGATTTGGTGAACCATGACATAGAGGGAGACAAAGAGGACTATTTGGGGAACCATGACATAGAAGGAGATAAAGTGGACTATGAGCTAAATCATGACATAGAGGGAACTTAAGAGGACTATTTGGTGAACCATGACATAAAGGGAGACAAAGAGGACTGTTTGATGAACCATGACATAGAGGGAGATAAAAAGGACTATTAGCTAAATCATGACATAGAGGGAACTTAAGAGGACGATTTGGTGAACCATGACATAGAGGGAGACAAAGTGGACTATTTGGTGAACCATGACATAGAGGGAGATAAAGTGGACTATTAGCTAAATCATGACATAGAGGGAACTTAAGAGGACTATTTGGTGAACCATGACATAGAGGGAGACAAAGAGGACTGTTTGATGAACCATGACATAGATAGAGATAAAAAGGACTATTTGGTGAGCCATGACATAGAAGAAGACAAAGCGAACTATTTCGTGAAACATGACTTAGAGGCAAACAAAAGGACAATTTGATGAACCATGACATAGAAAAAGGCAAAGTGGACTATTTTGTGATCCATGACATCGAGGAAAAAAAATAGGACTTTTTGGTGACCCATGACATAGAGGGAGACATAGAAGTATATTTGGTGAACCATGACATAGAGGGAAACAAAGAGGAATATTTGGTGAACCATGACACAGAGGGAGACAAAGAGGACTATTTGGTGAACCATGACATAGAGTGAACTAAAGAGGACTATTCGGTGAACCATGACATGGAGGGAACTAAAGAGGACTATTTGGTGAACCATGACATAGAGGGAGACAAAGAGGAATATTTGGGTGAACCATGACATAGAGGGAAACAAAGAGGACTATTTGGTGAACCATGACATAGAGGGAGATAAAGTTGACTATCAGCTAAATCATGACATAGAGGGAACTAAAGAGGACTATTTCGTCAACCATGACATAGAGGGAGATAAAGAGGACTATTTAGTGAACCATATCATCGAGGGAGACAAAAGGACTATTTGGTGAACCATGACATCAAGGGAATTAAAGAGGACTATTTGGTGAACTATGACATAGGGGGAACTACAGAGGACTATTTGGTGAACCATGACATAGAGGACTATTTGGTTAACCATGGTATCGAGGGAGACAAAAGGACTATTTAGTGAACCATGACATAGACGGAACCAAAAAAGACTATTTGGTTAACAATGACATAGAGGGAGATAAAAAAGGACTATTTGGTGAACCATGACATCGAGGGAGACAAAGCAGACTATGAGCTGACTCACGAAATGGAAGGAACCAAAGAGGACTATTTGGTAAACCATGACATAGAGGAAACCAAAGATGACTATTTGGTGAACCATGACATAGATGGAACCAAAAATGACTATTTGGTGAACCATGACATAGAGGGAACCAAAGAGGACTATTTGGTGAACCATGACATAGAGTGAGACAAAGAGGACTATTTGGTGAGCCATGACATAGTGGGAACCAAAGAGGACTATTTGGTGAACCATGACGTAGGTAAACCAAAGAGGACAATTTGCTAAACGATGACAGTGCAGGAGACGGGCTATAATTTCCTTTAAATGTATCAGCCAAAGCTTTATATAGAGCGTCTTATATATATTTCATTTAAGCTGAGTTGGGGGGGGGGCACCTTAACTTTAAGTGGTGAATTCTTGTAGTTCCTTCATATTAAGCTCAAGAAGTATGCAATAAATGCCACAAGGAAAAGGCTTAGAAACTCAGACATTAGGAAGTGGTAGAAAAAAAAAAATTAATGGCGAAGTCGAAAAACTGAATGGTGACATTTATGTTATCAATAGAGTGGTGCCTTCGAGATTTCTATATAAAATTCCTGTGCGGCGGTCGGCGGTAGAGTTTTTGTAACCCCCTTCCCTTAGCCTCACCTTGCAACGTGTATTTGATACGCCCTTGTTTAGAGAACATTATTGTACGTTTTTTTTTGTTGTCTTTTGTTTTTGTTATGAAGGACTTAGTCATCCACTTTAACTGTCAGGCTAAGTTTTTGCCATCGGCACTGCAAGGTCTAGCTTTTCATGTGTATTGAATATAAGACTTTGCGTGTTCTGTTCAATGCGTGTCCACTGATTGTTCGGGCTTCCCCTGACTATCAAGTCATATGAGTTGGGATAACAACAAGGAAACATCACAAGTGTTTCTCGGCTTATGCTATGTATACATGCTACAATTATATTGTGCTGACAAGCTTCTGTTATACAAGAGCACAAAGTTCATATGGACCATACTATATCATGATATTTCTGATAACTTTTGTAATCGCATTTGAAAATATGTTAAGTTAGTAAAGTGTGTATTGTAAAGTTAAATGAATTAAAAGATAGTTGTAAAATAAAGTGGTGAGAAGTACCTAAACCATACATACTGAGGAGAACATGAACCACACGTGGTAAGAAGAACATTAACCACACGTGGTAAAAAGTACATTAACCACACGTGGTGATGAGAACCTAAACCCCACGTACTTAGGAGAACCTAAACCACACGTACTTAGGAGAACCTAAAACACATGTGGTGATGAAAACCTAAACCACATGGTGAGGAGAACCTAAACCATATAGGGTGAGGAAAACAAACCTAAAACACACTTGGTGATGAAAACCTAAACCACATGGTGAGGAGAACATAAACCATATAGGGTGAGGAAAACAAACCTAAACCACACTTGGTGAGGAGAACCTAAACCACACTTGGTGAGGACAACCTAAACCATATAGGGTGAGGAAAACAAACCTAAAACACACTTGGTGAGGAGAACCTAAACCATATAGGGTGAGGAAAACAAACCTAAACCACACTTGGTGAGGACAACCTAAACCACACTTGGTGAGGACAACCTAAACCACACTTGGTGAGGAAAACCTAAAACACACATGGTGAGGAAAACCTAAAACACGCTTGGTGAGGAGAACCTAAAACACAAGTATTATTTAGGTTTTGTTTTCAAGACCCACATTTCAAAGAATTATATGTTTCACGGTATTAAGTCCTTAACTTTACCCTTGTTTGCCTTTGAAATCATTAAGTTCTTAACTTTACCCTTGTTTGCCTATGAAATCATTAAGTCCTTAACTTTACCCTTGTTTGCCTTTGAAATCATTAAGTCCTTAACTTTACCCTTGTTTGCCTTTGAAATCAGTAAGTCCTTAACTTTACCCTTGTTTGCCTATGAAATCATTAAGTCCTTAACTTTACCCTTGTTTGCCTATGAAATCATTAAGTCCTTAACTTTACCCTTGTTTGCCTATGAAATCAGTAAGTCCTTAACTTTACCCTTGTTTGCCTATGAAATCAGTAAGTCCTTAACTTTACCCTTGTTTGCCTATGAACTCACCTGACAGAGTGTTTGACAGTGTTTAAAGATCTTATCCTTATATAACAGATATTTAGAAATTCGTAAAAAAAAAAAAAATTGTGAAGACTGTTGCTTTCTTCTTTATGTGATGTCTTTTTCTTCATGTGCCACCTTCTACCTCATGTGCCACCTTCTACCTCATGTACCGCCTTCTACCTCATGTGCCACCTTCTACTTCATGTGCCGCCTTCTACCTCATGTGCCACCTTCTACCTCATGTGCCACCTTATACCTCATGTGCTACATTCTACCTCATGTGCCACCTTATACCTCATGTGCCGCCTTCTACCTCATGTGCCACCTTCCAACTCATGTTCCGCCCTCTACCTCATGTGCTGCCTTATACCTCATGTGCCGCCTTATAACTCATGTGCCGCCTTATACCTCATGTGCCGCCCATTGATCCAAGTACCTTCTACTACTATATGTTTGGTCAAGGTGAAGATTGCGGTCGTGACAATGGGTGAAAAAATAACTGTTACAATCAAGTGTTCTCAAACACATACCTAAGGTGTCCCTTATTCAAATAGCTATATTTGGTGTTGTTGTTTTTTTTAGTTTCTTTTACAAACACATAGCAAAGAAGCTTGCAATTAGAATAAAAAGCCCATGTATAAATACATAAAACTCAACTATCTTGACTTATTAAATGTCGGGGCCATGGTTGGGTTGTTAACAACCTTTATAAATATTGTTATTCTGTAATTAATATTTTTAATTATAAATTTAATAACGTCAATTACCTAATGAAACTGTTAAACTGATAAACTACAGAAATATTCATTCACTAGAGGCACACGTTAATAACATAGTACTGAAAGGGTAAATAACCACCAGTGTTACTTGTAATGTGACAGATACTGTGGTAGCCGTAGACGGGATTTTACCAAAATGTTTTATGTCGTTTTTTCCGTGGCCAATCGTCTCCTTCAAACACTTTCAATTCTGGGTGGTATTCAAATGTCAAAGATTAAACCAGTTGATGAGAGCGTTTCCTAAATAAAAATTCCTCCCCACTTTCTCAACTGTTTATCGAATATATTTATTTTATTTAAACATTTATTTTTTTTTAACTTGAAAGATATTTCATCACCGCAAAGAAATCTGTTTCATTGTTTAGCATGAGCGCGCCACAAACGAACTTTGCCGAGGCTATTATGGTAAGCAAACACAGCCCATTCACTGGCCGAGTGGACGAAACACAAAAAAAACAACAACACCTTTTTAAAAACAAAAGTAAGCGTTAGACTCACGGTAATTGGTAAATGTGACCAGGCTGCATACATTAGACAGTCACTTTCATAGAACATCTTGGAGTCTAGTAGTCTTGTACCATTTTTTTTTCAACTCCAATAATTGAGAGTTTAGCACGTAAGTAATGTAGACAATTAATATATGTGTTTTGGGGATTTTGCTATTTGCTTTCTCTTGAGATCTCTATTTATTAGCTTCGTTTGAAAGTAAGTCCTTTAACCATTCCACAAATATAGTGTCGTCATCATAACCTTAACTGTTGTTGTTTTTTTTCTATTAAAAAACGGGTTGATATTTAATTGGAGAACAAATATTCTTGAGCTACAACCATAATGTATGCCAATTGTCTTTAAACTATAGTATCTCGTTAGAGCTTGATTAGCTTCAATGTCTTCCGTGGGCGAATGGACAATTTTGTTCCATTACATCACAATCTGTGGGCGAATGGACAATTTTGTTCCATTACATCACATTCCGTGGGCGAATGGAAAGTCCCTTACTAAGTTGTACAAACAAAAACTGCCAATAAAAAACTTCCTTAATGAGAATTCATAAACAAGTGTCGTGACGATGGAGCTAACCAATTAGCGATGATCAGGAGAATAACACAACCATCTCTCACAGTGTGACGAGTATTCGCCTACACATCATGAGAGACTTGGATATTGACAGAACGCTCGTTACCTTTGCCGCTTATAACTGCACGAAATGACAAATATTGCATTATTTGTGAATTAAATTTGCTTCGGAGTTTGATCATTTTTTTGCCGGAGGGGGAGTCGAAATCTTATAAAATTACACAATTCCTTTGAGATGAAATTAATTTTTTTTGGTCATTTTCCTGTTCTGATTATCTGAAATATTACAAAACCATTGACTGATCGCTTAAGCCATTTTCACCGTCAGTTTATCACCCCCCCCCCCCACACACACACACAATCTTCACTTCATGGCGTTTGTAATAGTGTAGAATAGCGCAAGAGCCTTGGCAGAAAAGAAAATGAATCTGTTTCAAATAGCGTGTGTCTTTAACCTTTCCTACACATGTATTGTGACTGGAAACGTTCTCGTGGAGACAGATTTCGTTACACGATCGACAGACAGATAAAACGATGTTTGTTACGCTGTTGTTTTGTTTGTTTCAGTCGCAAAGCTAAGCCCAGAAAAGTGTTGGCCTGAATGTAACGGCGAAACGCGACGCTCCGACGTCACAGCCCCTGCAGACCCCACAGCCCTCCCCACCACATGCAGTGGACGAGATGGCCAGATAGAGCAATTAGTCGTTAATTCTCCGAGGCGACGGGGCGGGGCAGGAGGCTACGGGGAGAGGGAAGACCAGGCAGACGCGTCCAGGAAACCCGAGGACCAGAGTCCAGAGATAAACCGCCAAATAAACCAGAGCCTAGCAAAACTTGGGCCTGATCGTGGCACTAACGGGGTGAAGGTGGTGGGGGAGTCCCTCGAAGATGTGCACGGGAAGAGAGGACCGTGCGTGTCTGATACGAAATTGGTCACAGATGAAAATGGCTTGGATACTTTTGGCCGTGGCGAGACCAAGGAAACCAAAGGCTCACCACTGAGTTGTCCCGCTAATCAGAAGTCGCGCTCTGATTCCAGGTCTAGTGACGGCTCGGGGACAGATTCAGACTCGGTGTCTAAAAAATCTCAACCTTATCAGGATTCTGAACCTAATGTGCACATCCGGCAGGACGGAAAGCGCGTGGAGTTTTTAAACCCTCGAACTTTCTTGAACAGAATCAAGGGCTCCCCAAAGAATGTTTTCGGTTTATCGAGAGCTGTGAAAATCCCAGTGCAATTTGGGGGGCACCTGTACCCAGAAACCAGGAGATATAAAGTACTCGAGCAGACTATAACAATTGAACACATCCGTGAACCAGAACCGGAACAGAAAACAATTGAGTTTTTTACAGTTCCTAAGCAAACGGACTGTGAACAGAAAGCAACGTTTGGAACACAATATTCTCCCGTCATTGATAAAAATGAAAGTTTGAATACAGATATTGAGTTGTTGGATAATAATAATTTTCCGGGAACTAACTGTGCTGGGCAAGATCCAGAGACGAAGTTGTTACATGAGGAAATGGATAAGCTCAGTGTGGACCAGCAGAAGACAATCGTTGTAAGCGATGTGGATCTGTCATCAAAGGGCGTGGAAGTTATTGGATACTATAGTCCAGTAAGCTCCCCGAAGCTGCTCTTCAAACAAATGCAGAACATGAACCTAACCGAGACGAGCGTGGATAGAAACGAATCAAAGGATGGAGTCAAGAAATCGTGTTCATCATCGTCGAGCGGTTCTGACTCAGACTCGGGTGAGAAATCGCAAGGAAAAAGTAATAAAGTTAACACAAGGAAACAAGAAGATTCGGGAGACACAAGAGAGAAATCTTTGAAAGAGTGCCATCACGATGAGAAGCTTGATGGAAATAAAGATGCTTTTAATGAGCCAGGGTTGCCATCGAGTGAAAGCGATGCTAAAGTAACTGTAAAAGATGATTCGCATTCTGTGTTACAAATCAAGCAAGAGACAATTAGTAGTGTGACATCAGAAGACAATGAGTGCAATGGCAGCTATCCCAGAGCTGAAAAAAAGATGGAAAACAAGGCGTTATTAGATGGACACAAGACCCAAAAGCGTGAGGATCCCTGTCAATCTTCAAAAGAAATTAAAACTCCGTCCAATTCCTCTCCTTCAATTTCATCGTCATCAAGTGACTCTGATCACGAAAGTGATGACTCGGGTGGGCAGTGCTCCTATGACGTGACGGGTCCAGATCCCCCCAATGAAGCTGAGATTGACAAGGTGGATGCTGGGCATGAAGGAGATTTTTCGCAACAGAAAACTCGCCCAACTGAGTTAGAATACGAGCTAGAAAATGTACAGCCTGGAATGAATGTATCAGTGCATGTCGACACACCGGATGTTACCAGACTTGGTGAGTCGGGGTCACGTGATGCAAGCACAGAGAGTTTGACCTTTATTTCCAATACATCGTCGTCCGTTCTCGGCGAGACGATTATAGCGGAAGAGCAGACGGACCTCACTGGAGCCCCACAGCCTGTGTGGGATGAATCAGTCAACAAAACGTACTCGTCCACATCGTCGTTCTCCTCATCCGACGACGAGGCTAAGGCAAAGACTGGAAGCATAGAAGCAAGCGCCGCTAGTAAAGAGAATACCGAGAAGCCAGAAATAGAAGATGTTGTTACGTCATTTCCTGGCCGACAAGGAAAAGAAATTGAGGTAAAGCCAAAAGAAGCTTTAAATTCAGACAACGAACAGGTTTTATCTTCGACAGTAACTCAAAAAGTTGAAATTGTAGTGTGCGGCGATGAGACGAAGGGTAAAGCAAGCCCTGTAGATACTCCATTGGAGAAGTTGCCATCACACGATGTGACCGTCAGTTCGCGTGACGCTTCCATTGTTGCTGAACAGTCTATGGTCGTGGATAAAATTGGAAGCAGGAAGGTATCCAAAGAGAAACCCAAAAAAGAGAAGAAATCCGAGAAAGACACAAAATCTGTCTCCCCGCCCGCTGATTCTGAGCAGCCAAGGAGAAAAAGCAAGTTGTTCAGCTGGCCGTTCTGGCGAAATAAAAAGAAACAGGAAGATATTAAACAGAAGGAAGAAAGCCAGGCCATCAAAGTGGAACCGGAAATAGAGACGAAAGATCAAGTAGAGAAAATTCCCGATACACAGCATGTAAAAGCAGATGAAGTCGATTCGGCCAGCGAAGAGCTCACAAAAGGATTCGAGCGAATGACGCCGAGGACATCAACTCCTCTACGTCGTGAGGAACAAACAAAACAAGACATCAGCCAGACATCTGAGGCATCACATGACCTTGGGGCCATCTCAAGGGTAGATGTGCCTTCTTCGTCTCCTGGCCAAATTCAAAATGGCGTCCTGGAAACGACTCTTTCCTGCAGAAGTGCAAGTAAAAGGTCATCGTCAAAGTCAAGGTCGTCAACATCGTCAGAGAACTCTGCGCCTGATGCAGGTCAACGCGGATCTGACAGTGGGATTCCCAGTCTTTCTTTCATATCTCAGGTGGAATCTGTTGATGCAAACGTCAGTGGGCCGTCAAAGCTGTCGTCTCGACCCGAGCTCTGTCCCGAGACTACAAAAGAAAGATCAGGAAGTGAACTATCCAAGAGTAGTTCAAGCTCTAAGGAATGTAACGAAGATGAAACGCCCAGTTTAGCCGAGAGAGTGCCCTCTCTTACGAAATCTAGCATTTCACCTGAAGCGACGGATCACAACAAGGGGCTCATGGTTGATGATAAGTTCCACGACGACGTAATCCACAACCAAGAGGACGCGGGAACCCTGAGAGATCAACCAAAAGATCAAAATAAACTCAAAGGGGAAACAAAGTGCAAAACCAAGGAGACGAAACAGGACGAAACGAAAGAAATCGTTCCAGGCGAAGAAAATTCACGTGGCTCTAAGAAAATCAAAACAACAAAACCGCCGAGGCAGAAGTCAAAATCAACAAAGAAAGGATCGGACCATGGCGGTCACACATCTACTTCGTCATCATCGTCCGGCGACGACAAGAGGAGTTCAACTAAACGTGAACCAGCAGAAGAATCACACAGTCACAGCGATAACGCCAACGACAAAAAGACTTTGCAACTCACAAAGGAGACTCCGTCTCCAAAGTCAGCTGATAAAAAACGATCTAAGCTGTTTGGGAAAAAGTTGCCTGATCTTCAAATCAAACAGGAGATTCAACTCGAAGAGCTCGCTCCCACTAAAAAAGATGAGCCTTCAACAGGGAGATCTCCGGCTACACCGAGATCAAAGTCAGGTAAAATCTCCAAATTTTTACCGGCGCTTCTGTCACCAACGAAGAAGGAGCCGGATGTTCGGCTTGAGGATTCGCTGAACGCAGACCAGAGATTCGATGGTCAGTTTCATCGAGAGGATGACATCACGCAGGGCGTGGCTGAAGATGTCACCGCTAAAGAGATGAAGACACCCCCGCCGACGCCAGCCTCTGAAAACGTCGATTTCGAAGAGGGACAGTGCGACAGCCAAAACGATCCCGTAGGTACTTCACAACCAAGGCACTTTGTGGTTGTGGCGATAGATTTCGGCACCACACACAGTGGATATGCTTTCAGGTAAGTTTCTACTGTTCTCTGATAAATTTATAGTAAGTCTCAGTAAAGGAATTTTATTTTAGTATAGCAATTGTTTCCATGGTCCACAAAGCTTACAAATGACCATGATATATATATTGACTGATACAATTTGAGCATTTGATGTTGATTCCAGTGTGCTCCACGATATTTTCGTTTCTAACACCAACAAGCCCTAACAAGCACTGTCTTACTATATTTTCTGCACCCAGTGACATGCTGGAGGGTGACTTGGTACGAATAGTTTTCTAAACGTACCCATTTCCTTGTGGGGAGGACATTTTAAAGGGGGAGAAACAATATACTCAAATACTACATTACGATTTGTTTCACTTATGAGAATTGTTGGCTTAACGTAAATATTTCAAAGTATTTTATCATGGTCAATGTATCTGAGTCTCATCATGGTCAATGTATCTGTGCTTCATCATGGTCAATGTATATGTGTCTCATCATGGTCAATGTATCTGTGTCTCATCATGGTCAATGTGTCTGTGCCTCATCATGGTCAATGTATCTGTGCTTCATCATGGCCAATGTATCTGTGTCTCATCATGGTCAACGTATATGTGTCTCATCATGGTCAATGTATCTGTGTCTCATCATGGTCAACGTATCTGTGTCTCATCATGGTCAATGTATCTGTGTCTCATCATGGTCAATGTATCTGTGTCTCATCATGGTCAACGTATCTGTGTCTCATCATGGTCAACTTATCTATGTCTCATCATGGTCAACGTATATGTGTCTCATCATGGTCAATGTATCTGTGTCTCCTCATGGTCAATGTATCTGTGTCTCCTCATGGTCAATGTATATGTGTCTCATCATGGTCAACGTATCTGTGTCTCATCATGGTCAACGTATCTGTGTCTCATCATGGTCAATGTATCTGTGTCGCATCATGGTCAACGCATATGTGTCTCATCATGGTCAATGTATCTGTGTCTCTTCATGGTCAATGTATCTGTGTCTCATCATGGTCAATGTATCTGTGTCTCATCATGGTCAATGTATCTGTGTCTCATCATGGTCAACGTATCTGTGTCTCATCATGGTCAATGTATCTGTGTCTCTTCATGGTCAATGTATCTGTGTCTCATCATGGTCAATGTATCTGTGTCTCATCATGGTCAATGTATCTGTGTCTCATCATGGTCAATGTATCTGTGTCTCATCATGGTCAATGTATCTGTGTCTCATCATGGTCAATGTATCTGTGTCTCTTCATGGTCAATGTATCTGTGTCTCATCATGGTCAACGTATCTGTGTCTCATCATGGTCAATGTATCTGTGTCTCATCATGGTCAACGTATCTGTGTCTCCTCATGGTCAATGTATCTGTGTCTCCTCATGGTCAATGTATCTGTGACTCATCATGGTCAATGTATCTGTGTCTCATCATGGTCAATGTATCTGTGTCTCATCATGGTCAACGTATCTGTGTCTCATCATGGTCAACGTATCTGTGTCTCATCATGGTCAACGTATCTGTGTCTCATCATGGTCAACGTATCTGTGTCTCCTCATGGTCAACGTATCTGTGTCTCATCATGGTCAACGTATCTGTGTCTCATCATGGTCAACGTATCTGTGTCTCATCATGGTCAACGTATCTGTGTCTCATCATGGTCAACGTATCTGTGTCTCATCATGGTCAATGTATCTGTGTCTCTTCAGTTTCGTTCGTGATCCGACAAGTGTTTACATGATGAGGAGGTGGGCCGGCGAGGAGCCTGGGGTGGTCAACCAGAAAACCTTGACCTCTCTACTCCTCACCCCTGAAGGAGAGTTCCACAGTTTCGGCTACAGCGCCCGCAGCAGCTACCTCAACTTGATCCCGGTGGAAGCCAAGCACTGGATGTACTTTAGCACGTTCAAGATGGAGTTGCATCACAACGCTGTGAGTAGAAATGTATCACGTGACACAAGTGTCCAATCATATGACCTACCCAAGCTAGAGTTTTGGAATAGTAATAATTTTGCAGGAATGTTTCAATCTTGCTTCTTTATATTTCCACGGGTCAGCCATGTTAAGAAATGCATGCACACAAAATGTCATTTCCTGTCCCCAACTATAACAGGGTTGGACTGCGATAAAATATTTCAGTAGATTATATTATTATAATGAGACGCAAACTACGAGGATATTGAACTGCTTATCTGGTTAGTATTTCCTAGTAAGTTTAAGCCCCCAAATGTTAAGAACTGCTAACTGGATAAGCATTTCAATATTTCCGTTCTCTAGTGCAGCGGTTCTCAACCTGTGGGTCGCGACCCCTTTAGGGGTCGAATGCCCTTTACACAGGGGTCGCCTCAGAGCATCGGAAACCCCATAATTATGAAATAGCAACGAAAATAATTTTATGTTCGTGGGTCAACACAACATGAGGAACTGTATTAAAGGTTCATGTCATTAGGAAGGCTGAGAACCACTGGTCTAGGGGTACGTATTAAACAAATATATGGTCAGTATGACATATGGTTTTTTATTCCAAAAAAAAAAGTGTGTCTTCTTTCATCCGCTTTCTCTCTGCAACTCCTTTACTACTTAAAACCGTAACACTCAGCAACGTCATCTCTAGTACCCATCAAATACGTCACAAATACAAAGCACACAGCAACAGCTACACAAATAATCTCCACACCAAAACACGCTTCCACAAAACACACACACACAAAAATCATTAACATTTCCTCCTGTATTCAAAATTGATGCTGTAGTATTTTCGTCTTGACAACTTTGGGCCCCTTAATTGTCTGATGCTCCCTGCAGTCACAGGTTTTTCAGTGCGTGGTCTGGACTAACACCTGCACTCAGATTTGATCTGATTTTTCCTTCAGTCCATCTAACACTTGATGAGGCATGCACTTTCAACTCATGCCTCGCGTTTTCCCTATACCTCTATTTATCCATGCACCCACTCGGATTGAACATTCCTAAGAAACGCCATTGCCGCTGGATGTGTTAATCGGTTTGACTCTTCCATTCCTTGAGTTTCGTCCATGGTGTCGGCACTTGCCGTGTTTTAACACGCGAGTTATCAGCAGCGCAGAAAGACGAGCCGAGACAGAATTTATCTATGAATGCTGGGATACAACTATAACAGATAGCGCCCTCTGCCACCCACTGATTATGGATAATTGCGAGACGCATAAACCTTGGGTTTTGCGGGCCAATACACGGAGCTTAACTAGTTTTGTATCCTGCTGGTTATATTATGTTAATCCTTCTTAGCTCTAAAAAAAAAAAATAAAAAAAAATGTACTCCTCTTATGACAACACACACGCAAGCCATCATAGTGATATTCTTCCCGCAGTTGTCAACCTCTTTCTGAAAGTAGTTTATCTTACATAACAAAATATGGAGCAGGAAATCTGTACTGAGCTAGTAGGCGACCATCCTCACAGATGGAACACTCGTTAATTTATGTGTGTCTATAACTATGATACGTTTTATCGTTTCCAACCTCACAGCAAAAACTGTTACAATGTTAATATATTATATCACGATTGTACTTATAAACTAAATTTACATGTATTCGTTCCTCTTAACAAGAATTTTAAGAAAAAAAAACAATTTAAAAAAAAAACACGCAATTATCTCACATTCTTAAATACCATTTTAGTTGTGTGTTGTTTTTTTTTTAATAACATTTGAATTTTACAAAATATACAAAATAAAATGATATGTTCATATCTGATGATTAGGACAACAAGCCAGTGTGGAAAAAGGTCCCTTGCATGTGGTGTGTAAGCGCCCTATGAGAATCCATAAGAATATAACTGGCCTGTCAATTTGGGTAGAAATAAATATGAAATTTGAATTTCGCTCTTTCAACCTAAGTACGAGCGGGCATCAACGTCTGTGGTGTCCATGGTATTCATAGCAGCAATCATAGCAGCAATCATAGCAGCAATCATAGCAGCAAAACAACAGTTGAGAGTTCAAGAGATTGGATTTCAACGCAACCGTCGTAAAATATAATACACACACATAAGTAGAGCAGTGAAAATCAACAATAGATCTTAAACAGCAATTTTTTTTTCTTTTTCACCCCGCATGGTAAACGTTAATTACCCTGTACCCATGGGTTTCTCGATGTTTATTTCTTTACCTTTATACCCCTGGACCCATAAAAATAAAGATAATTTCTCCGAATTCCATTCATGACTCAAATAACACAAATATTATGGGGCATTGCTTGAGACACTACAGTTGGAGGAATGTGGGGATTGCGATATAGGTAGACGAGACGACCGACCTTATCTTACCGCAGGACCGACAATGCGGGTTAATTTATGACAAGAAGTGAACATTATCTCCCTGCGTGCGGCGCTGCATTGTTTCAGTTCCTGGGCATTTCGCTGATAGTCTTACTATCCACAACCCCTAATGGGAGGGTGGCACCTGGTGGTTAGGGTTGTGGAAGATTCTTTTTTTTTCGTGCATTTTAGGTGGTAGGTGTGTGGAGGGTGGGGTGGAAAAAGGGGGGGGGGGCTTTACGTGTATGGGGGGAGGGGGGGGGGAGGTTCAGAACTCCAGGCCTGACTAATGGGAGGGTGGCACCTGGTGGTTAGGGTTGTGGAAGATTCTTTTTTTTTCGTGCATTTTAGGTGGTAGGTGTGTGGAGGGTGGGGTGGAAAAAGGGGGGGGGGGCTTTACGTGTATGGTGGGAGTGGGGAGAGAGGTTCAGAACTCCAGGCCTGACTAACGTTAATGAGACACAACTACGTGCAGCTGAAATAGAATCTGCTGCAACAACTTTAAAAGCAATTTGTTATTTTTACATATGTAATACAACGTACGACTGTACGAAAACAATTTAAGGGTAATGTAAGCCAAGCGCAGGAGATAAAGTTATACTTCTTTTAAAAACAACTTTACGTTACTTAGACTGATCGGCTTGGTGGTAGAAAGGGGAAACAATCTACAATCAAGATATAAGGTAGAACCCTACGATCTTTTGTGATGTATAGCTATGTAATAGTGGCTATTTTCTTGTTCCTCCCCACTGTCTCCCCCATCTCTCTCTCTCTCTCTCCCTCTCTCTATTTATATTACTAATTCTCCGATCATTTTTCGGTCTAAATCTATTCACTTTTAACGAAAGGAAATCCCTTACTAAGTGAACAATAATAATGTGATCACTTCAAAATAAACAGGCGATTGCCGTCAATCCTTTGTTTTCCTCATTTGCAATATGAAACATATAGTTACATGTAACATAACTGCCCCTTACCTGTAACTGTTGATCGTCTCGTGTCTAGTGACAACTTCAAACATGCAGTAATTGACTTCGTATCAATGAAAGATCAGTTTACCTGGAGAAGATTTTAACACCTTTAAAAATATATATATATACCTAGAAAAACGTATTAATAACTTCAAATAGATTTATTTTTATTGCCCATACATATAGCACGGAGAAATCAAAACTTGAGACCAAAAACATTTGAATCTCTGGTCATACTGAAATACGTTAATTTCCAATGTGAAAAAACAAAGAGCATCAGTGCTTGCATCCAAATGTTATTGTGTGCTTTTAACGAAACAAAAATTTGAAATATTCAACGCTGGAAAGTCTAGTCACCAACAAATGGTATTCTGATACGGTTCTGATATAAAGACACTCTCTAACACTAGAAATGTCTTGATGGCGTCAGCGTTTTTTTTTTTGAAGTAATCCTCCATTAAAACAAAAGAAAGCACCTCTCTGTAGAAAATGTTCGGAAAGTAACAAAAAAATCTTACCAATGTTATAAACGGACATCAATTGAAAAGGACAGAAATCGGTGAGATAATTGACACAATTTGACAAGGACAGAAATGTATGAGATAATTGACATCATTTGACAAGCACATGTATGAGTGAGATTCGCTTCTTTCTTATGACAATAAAACTAGTGGAAATAAAAAAAGAAAATGACATGCAAGGGTTATTACTTTTTCAAATATATGTTTGAATATTATTACCGGTAATGTTATGATTTTTAATATCACAACAACAAAAAATATTTAATCTACAACCCCACACATGAGTCTATTCGTTTGTGTCAGGATTTGAACAGAGACACGACGTTGGTGGCCTTGAACGGAGCCAAGTTCCCAGCACTCAAAGTTTTCGCGTACGCCCTTGATTTCTTTAAGAACCACGCCCTTCAGCAGCTGAGTGACCAGTCCGGCACAGAGCTGTTGAACGATGACATCAGATGGGTCATCACAGTGCCTGCGATATGGAAGGCACCCGCCAAGCAGTTCATGCGTCAGGCTGCCTACGAGGTATTGCATCAGCCAACATTCAATTGGTTTACATTAAACTTTTTAAACCTTAAATTGGGTTGCACAACTTGATTAGAAATCTTCAGTGTCTATTTAAGGTTGACCAATTAAGCCAATTTGGATAATGATGCATGGCTGTATTGTAATAAGTGCACTCTAAGTAATAAGTACACTCTAAGCAATAAGTACACGCCAAGTAATAAGTACACTCTAAGTCAGTGTTTCCCAACCTTTTTTGTGCGATGCCCCACCTAAGGCTTTCTAAAATTCTTATGCCCAAATGTATCATATAAATAATTTTTAATTATCAAAATAGGGTTGTTTACTGAAGAAACTTAAATGATAGGTTTTAGGAAGAAATCACTAGGAAATTGGTGAGGAAACATAGTAAGTAAATTTTCAGAACACATATTGAAGAACTGAAATTCAAGTACGAAATAATTTTAATGAAACATTTGATATTTTAAAGATTCTCCTTTTAAAGTACTAGTTAAATCATAGCAGACGTTTGATTTTCAAATTCTAGACAGCTCATTTTCAAATTTCAAGTGGGCCCCACGTTGGGAAACACCGCTCTAAGTAATAAGTACACTCTAAGAACAGGGATTTCCCACTGGATGCCCCCAACATATTTGATATCCAACCCTTTTTTTTTTCTTGACACATTTGAGAATTTTCTGGTCATAATCAGACTTTTTCTTTCAAGCAGCTCTCCGGGAAGTCAGTTGCCCACCCCACATTGTTTGCATATCGATACTTTATTATTTTTATTATTTATTTATTTATTTTTTGCAACTTCACAAGTTTAAAAATGGATATTTGGCCTTCATGGATCTAATTTTTTTTTTTTTTTTTTTTTTTTTTCTTTTTTTTCCTTTCCCCCCCCCCCCTTTTTTTTTTCTTCTTATTAAGTGGCATTCTCATAAGCTTTTTTTAAAAAAAAAAATGAAACTTTAGAATTTAGAATTTAGACAACCATCTGTTGATAAGCTTGGCATGTGTTTCTTCAGGCCGGGTTGGCAAGTGCAAGCTTCCCAGAGCAGCTGTTGATAGCTCTCGAACCGGAAGCTGCCTCCATCTACTGCCGTCGACTACGAATGCATCAACTCATCCCTGACCAACCCTTGAAAAGACCGCTCCAGTCCCCGTCACGGTCATCGGTGGAGGTCAGTGGTGAACTTGCTGTTACCGAATTGACAGTTGGTAAGTCTCTGGTCAAGTAATAAAGAAATTTCATTTAATTTTATAACGTACATTAAGTTTCTCTTCCCCCCCCCCCCCGCATTCCCCCATTTTCTTTTTTTTAGGTTTTTATTTTCTTTATTAATGCTCAGGTTGACCATCAATAAAAGACGCCACGAGGCTGGGGTGGGGGTGGGGAGAGTAAAGTATCTGTGATGATATGAGATGCGGTTCACGTGGTGTCTCTCTGGTGATTTATGACGTTGCAGTATGAGGGTGGGGTAAAAAAAAATCGGCCAAGGGGGTACGTCCTAATTTGTTGCTTGCCCGTGGTTGCCGTGGTTGCCGTGGTTGCCGCCCATTTCTTCAAATTTAGATCACTTCCGGTTGAGTTCATATTTGTTTTGGTTTAAACTCGATTCCAGTAAGTCGGGTTAGGGCTAATCAAAACACACCCAATAATACAGGGTTAGGGTTAGGGCTAATCAAAACACACCCAATAATACAGGGTTAGGGTTAGGGCTAATCAAAACACACCCAATAATACAGGGTTAGGGTTAGGGCTAATCAAAACACACCCAATAATACAGGGTTAGGGTTAGGGCTAATCAAAACACACCCAATAATACAGGGTTAGGGTTAGGGCTAATCAAAACACACCCAATAATACAGGGTTAGGGTTAGGGCTAATCAAAACACACCCAATAATACAGGGTTAGGGTTAGGGCTAATCAAAACACACCCAATAATACAGGGTTAGGGTTAGGGCTAATCAAAACACACCCAATAATACAGGGTTAGGGTTAGGGCTAATCAAAACACACCCAATAATACAGGGTTAGGGTTAGGGCTAATCAAAACACACCCAATAATACAGGGTTAGGGTTAGGGCTAATCAAAACACACCCAATAATACAGGGTTAGGGTTAGGGCTAATCAAAACACACCCAATAATACAGGGTTAGGGTTAGGGCTAATCAAAACACACCCAATAATACAGGGTTAGGGTTAGGGCTAATCAAAACACACCCAATAATACAGGTTTTTTTTTTTAATGAAATGTACACTTTTACTCTGAATAATTTCTTTCATCTCAATGTACGATATCTTCATCCAATTCATGTATCCATATCCAAACCTTGACAACCACAAATGATATGAAAGCGGAAATGATTTAAATCAATCAATTTTCTATTTTCTCTCCGAAAATATTTTTTTTTCTTGGAGGTCGCACCCCATCTGCGAAATGTTATTTTTGAAGGTCCTTTTGAAATAACTCCCCAAAAGCTGTGCGTAACACTGAATTTTTTTTTTTTTTTTACTTAACTAGCGGTTATGAAATGACAACACCTTATGCTAGTATTAAATGGACTTTAAGCAAATGTTATAATTAAAACATGGACCGTTGGCTTGAGTGCATCATATTATATTAGATTTTATATGGCCAAATTGAGAACGTCATAAACAATGTTGAAGAACTCATCTCACCAACGATTAGTGACATTATAGTTTCATAGCCACAAGGCTGAGGAAATGGAACAGTACTTGCTTTGCATACCAAAGTCAACTGAGTTCTCATTACAACTAGATACTTATTAGTTATGCACGGTTTTTTTTTCACAGAAGTAAGTTCGGATCAAGACAGCAAAAATATTTTCTGAAAAAAAGAAAAAGAAATTAATCTTTTAAAGTGGGTGGGTGTCAGTATATTATTTTAGAACAGTTCTTCAACGTCAATAAAATTACAAATATTAGCATACATTTGAAATTAATGGAGAAATAATCTCTTGATTTTTTTCCATTGCATTGCCAGATCTAATTGCTATTGAAAAAAATTTAAAACTCCGTGGCCATCAGTGAAATAAATTTTCAATCACGCCCTCAAAGTGAGTGACTATCTCTGATCCTCCTTGTTGTGTAGGGTGCAGATTTGGCTGCTTCCATCCGACGCTGGTCGACACAAATGTTTATCATGGTGTTGACTTCAAAGATGCTCACACATCAGAAATATGAATTCGCTGTTGCTTGTGCATGAAATCAATAGTTCACAAACCGAATCTTTGTCCTTCCCTTTTGATTACAAATTCAATTCTGCTTAAGCGCAAGCTTTTTAAAATCTTATTCTGCGTGATAGAGGATAAAAAATGTTTCTCGTCGCATCCTTTCCATTGTACATGGTGTGATGTGCTTTTAGTGCGGTCGTCCAGCTTTTCTCAAAGCAAGCAGCCGTTTAAAAGTGTGATCTTAGTCAATGGCGTTTCTGCTAAAAGGAAGAGTCTTAAAACCTAGCATCGAAAGGTTTGATACCCCTTTGCCAAGTCCTGCTCATGCATCGCTTTAAGATCATTGACCCGTGAAAACGTTAGGCGTCTATAGGAAAACTTTGTTAAATAATCATTCCACTTGAAAAAGCCGACGACTCGCATGATCCAATAAATCAGCTTAATATCGAATGGTTCGTTCATGACATTTTAGTTGTTATTCTGATCCGATCTTCAAATATATGATCACAAATAATGGTTATAACTGGGTCAGACCGGGGCCGTTCAGGGTGGGTTTAGGGGCAAAAGGATGCGGCGGCCAGATAATGTTTGAGAGCCACTGGTTTTAAACCGTAAAAGATTAACCGCGATACTAATCTATGCATCGTCACTAGAGAAATGACTGACACACTATGAGGGTACACAAAAAAATAACATCCTGTTTTTTTTTGTTTTTTTTTACTATTGATTAAATTGTGTCTTTGTTTTCATTTTTTCACTACACCAAATGTCAAATCTGTCAAATTTGCTCCCAGACACGCCCTTTACAGATTACAGATCTTCTGTTTTCAATGTTAGATGAAATAAATTAACAATTTAGAACAATATTTGAATGTTTTCAGATCTGAACAAATCTAGTTCGTCATCCCGAGCAACATTAGATAGTTTACCAGATGAAATTGTTGACGCACAAATCCAAGGTTTTATTGACGTAACATTCTTCAGCTTGCCTAGTTATTTGAGCACTGCCTCATAACCCTATCACTCCACTCCCCCACATCCCCATGCCCCCCCCCCACACTTGGTACAATCACGGACACGCCGGACACTACTCGGACACATGTTAAAACCCCAGCATGCGGTTTGTTTGTCTTGGCACAACGTCTTCCTCTCCCGACCAGCCTCTAATTCTTTCACAAATTGCACAGTTTGCATACAATCAACACAGTATTTGAGACCGTGATTTTTGGTAGCAATTAGGGGGGTCAGCCGACACAAGCGAAACAAATAAAAAGTCACCACGTCTTGGTTGGTTCAAGTGGGGGCTCCCAAGATGAGATCGTTTCATTCAGCATTCTGACCGACACAGCTTGAGGCTACGTCCCCGGTATCGAACTACCTGTTGATATAAACAATTTGTTGCTGGTTTTACTGAAGCTTTATATCTTAGCAACAGAACAGAGAAAATTGCTTCAGACATTTTGAGTATCATGCAACACACGATAAATATTTAGGCACTTGTCTGGTGAGAATAAAGCACCCAGACGTGGGTTCGAGGCTAGCCATAAATATGTTTTCATAGCACATCATTTTTTCAAACATGTATACAAAATAAATTTTTTTAAAACCGTAGATTTAAAGTAGCGACCGCCATGACTTTCCAAACTTTATATCTTCTTTTTCCCAATCCTTTCTTTTATTCCGTATAGATTTTTTTTTTTAAATATTTGTAATCTGATGCGTCAATATCAATGGGATTTTCTTTTTAAATAAATATTACTACAAATATTATTTCCGTCTTCAATTAAAATATAAATTGTTAATGGTTAATATAAAGGTGTTAGTCTAATTCATTAAAAAAAAATAATAAAGTTTTAAAAAAAAAATAATTAAAAAAAAAAAAAGTCCTACTGAGATACGTCTTAAATTGTTATGTTAGACATTGGCCACCTTGCTTCCTTCAACTACTTCAAGCATGTTTTAGCCTTACACATTTTGTCATCTCTTATATGATGTTAATATGTTTGTTGTTTATACAATTTAGGCATAAACCATAGTTAAAGAAACTCAAAGCTTCACCGATTCAAATTCTGTTTCTTTTTTTTATTGGATATATTGTACATTAAATGAAAATGTTTACATAATGCATGTATAATACCTCATCGGGAAGCAGGGGTTCTCTCGTGCATGAAAAAGCCAAATTTCAACAACTAAAAACATTAACATTGATATTAAAGCGCCTTTTTTTCATATTTAAGTTTTATAAATAAGGGCAATAATGTTGTATCGTGGGCGGCTATTAAAACTGCCATATGATATTTACACACGAGCACTCATGCATGCACTCTGTCTATGTAAGCCTGCTATCTTGATCTACCAATGGACTGTCCGGCAAGCTGGTTAACTAAACATCTAAACTTCTCATTTCCAAAGGATCCAGGTATCTTATTGTTGACTGTGGCGGTGGCACTGTTGACATCACTGTCCATGAACTTGATCCACTGGGGCATATCGTAGAGCTTCACAGGGCAACGGGTGGCCCGCACGGATCTATAGGTAATGAAACTGATTCACACGTTCACTGAGCATTCCGTTGACATAGGTGAGCTAGAGTGCTATTGTTGCCGGTATCAGTTCTCAAATAGCACGCAGGCCGTGCATAGGGCGAGGCAAGCGAGTAAATCACTCGGGGCCCTGACCGCACGGGGCGGAATATTCTTAATAAGATTACGTTTGATACAATTACTTTGAAATATATCCGACCCAAAATTTGGATTTGCCCTGGGCCAAATAATTTCTGTATGGCCCTGACACGCAGTGATGTAGGACAGGGGAATGGGGGGGGGGGGGCTGTCTATAAATGGAGGGGTGGCATTTTCAGCCAAATGCAGAGTTTTTTTCGTGGAAGGGGGGTGGCAAATATCTTGACCCTGCCCCAGGCGACACTAACCCTAGCTACACCACTGGTAACACGTGCATAAATTTTAGAAACAGTAAGACATAAGGGGTTCTCACACTTAAGACGAGAGCTCCGCAACCAATGTGTATCGGGCCACTGATGTACCTCGAGATTTTGCTTGGTGTGCCGCGAAAAATGACTTCATGGGGAGAAAAATTTGAAAAATATATTAAATATGGCAAGTTAACGATACAGTGTAATATACTTCTCTTAACATTAAATGCCATAGTGAATGTCGACAATATTCAGTTGTTTCTTACATAAAAGTAATACTGGTGCTTGTTAATTTAACTTATCCACTCTGCCAGCCATGTACTTCACTATTTTGTGCATGTTTTTACTTGTGGTGTGCCGCGAAATCTCGGAAAGACCCAAGGTGTATCCGTGCCATGGGTGAAAAGGGGTTGCAACAGCTCTGATTTATATTATACGATATCCGGTACCAACAGTTCAGTAAGACTTCGACATGGACCACTAAAATACGAGCTAATTTTCTTGTAAACCTTGTAAATATTACTAAACAAATAGATTTCACATTTTACCGTCATCCAGGAGTGGATGCTGAGTTTGAGAGACTTTTGTGTGGCATCTTTGGAATTGAGTTCATCGAGCAGTACAAGCGGAAGTACCCGATGGGCTGGGTGCATCTCATGACGGACTTTGAGTCCAGGAAAAGATCAGCTTCGCCATTTAAAAGTACATCCCTGAATGTTTCGCCTCCATTTACTTTCATAAACGACTACAAGAAGCACAAGGTTGGTTGAGTACAATGGAATGCATGCATAACTGTCACTGGACACTTGGGAGGGGAAAAGGGTGTGGGGGTAGATTGGTGGGAAGGTCAAAGACTACGCATACCTCGGCATAAATTGCCTTCCCTCGGCATTACTTGCCTTCCCTCAGTGTTATTGAGTGCCAAGCTGTAGTTACTTCTGAGCGACAACAACAACAATCAATCAGTAAAATCCTAGGCCCCCGTCTCCAAAGACTTGGTTTTGACTTTCAATGTTTTTGGTCAATAATTAATAGTGAAACAGTGTTGGTTGTACATTAGCAACAGAACTCGAACAACATCATTTCAAAGTCATTGTTCGAATTGGGATTGCATATATATATAATATGTTAGTAAATGGAGATTAACCGAATAAGCGTATGCAACGATGTCATGGTCAGAAATATACCATTTCATTCACCGAAATAAACCAAATTATTTTTTTTTTTGAAGAGTGACCCTGAGACTGCCGTAAAACGTTACGGGGACCCGGAGGTGGAGTGGTCCCCCCAAGGCATGCTTAGACTGACACCCGTGGCCATGCGACGCCTCTTCTTGCCAACTCTGACACATATCAAGCAGGCTGTTGGGGACGTTTTAAATCACCCTAATGCAAGGGGTAAGAACCAGACGAAACGGCCACCTTTTTTATAGTGATGGAATATTAACCTTTTCAAAAATATTTGTTTAAATTGAACTTCTAGCAGTAGCATTAAGGGAGAATTCTTAGGTTTTGAGCTATTTTCTATTTCTTGTTGTTTCTTCATGTGTCCTGTCTGCTAAAGAAGGTTCTTAACCGAAATGATCTTCTTTGATTGCCCCCTCTAATTATTTCAAGCCTCCTCATATCTTGTTCTATTTCTTTATTTTTATAATGTGTGACCATTTTTGTAAGTTGTGGTACTAACAACACAATTTTTATATGAGGATAGACATGATAATAGGCTACTGTTTCCCCACTCTTAGAATCCCCCTCCCCCCCCCCCCTAGATCTCTCTGAAAGCAAAGTTAAGAAAATTTATCACATGTTAAATTTCTTTTTAATTTACTTTATTTTTTGCAGTGAACTTGATAGAAAAAATATAATTTTTAAAAAGAATCTTAGTGGCATCAGAAAAAAAAAAAGATTAAACTAATAAATACTGAAAAGTTTATTACTTTAAAAAATTGAACTTTATTTTGCCTATCTCATAATAAATGTGTTTTTTGAGTGTGTTATTGTTATGATTCATATTTCTATGAGTTGAATTCCCCTACAGCCATAAATAACACTTCCACTTACATGACACACTCCCCAGAACTCAAGTACATGTTTCTAGTGGGAGGCTTTGCTGAGTCCCCTCTGCTGCAACATGAGATGAGGCAAGAGTTTGGCACCATTATGAAGATACTTATTCCACAAGAAGTTAGTTTGGCTATTCTTAAAGGTATGTCCGCAGCAATGACCCACGTCTGGTGGCATAGGTCAAGTGGGCAGTTTGAAGACAAGAAGCTCAACACAACAGGAAATGTACAATAAATGGCTTACACATTATTATACATTAAAATTAAATAATTTTTATAAGATCTAGCATGAAATGAGCATGTTAAATAAAAATATGCATTAGCATAGCTCTGATTAGATTAATGATTAATGAGTTGTTGTTTTTTTGTGATGTTACTTTTAGAACATATATTACATTGGTGTAGAAAAAAATCAAATTAATACATTTCACTTAGGTATTTTTGGCTACGGCCCATTCCTTAACTTAATACTTTGATATGATCACAGTTGAAAATTTCTATAGAAAAATTATTTGTTTAGTGAGCTAATGCACTAATAAGCTTACACTTACACATTTTTCAAACACAAGGTTGTGATGAGATTGCTTTAGAAAATTAGTTGTAAAATGAAGGTTTATCATCATGTTTTAGAGTTTAACTCATGTCTATTAAATTTTGTTTCAAGAAATAATATAATGCATGTAACTGCGAAGGTCTTATTTTAATAAACTCAACATTTTTTTTTCAGGTGCCGTTCTGTTTGGCATAGATCCATCTATAGTAAACATAAGAAGATCAAGACTGACATATGGAGTAGGGATTCTCAACCGGTTTGACTCAAATATTCACCCCGAGTCCAAGCGGGTGAATCGGGATGGTGTGGACTGGTGTATAGATGTCTTTGATAAATATGTAGAGACTGACCAACCTGTCATGCTGGGTACTTCTGTGGTGAGAAGTTATACACCAGCTAAAAAAGGTGGGTGCTGTACATAAACTTTTTTGTCTAAAAAAAAAACAAAGGCATGTACCGGTACAGCAAAGAAAAACAAAGGCATGTACCGGTACAGCAAAGAAAAACAAAGGCATGTACCGGTACAGCAAAGAAAAGCATTACTAACTATGCCGATGGCTTTACACCATAAATTAATTAAAAATAAAGATATTTGAAAAAGGGTAGACAACTGCATAAATTTTTCTTTTTTTTTTTTTGTAAACACTTATTATACTAATATTTAAAAGATGTAAACTAAAAATTTAAGAAACTGAAAAACTCATAGAAAAGCTTTTCCTAATATGGAATTTAAATTATACAAGAATTTAGAGGGAGTTACATAAAATATATATTTATATATCAGTGTGTATATTCACTAAGATTTTATCGAAATATTACAGTAATTTCCTGATAAGCATTAATTTCAAGAAGACATTTGTTACGCACTGACTTCTATTGTGAGAAATTAATCTCATGTTTTATGTAATGGCTCGTTAAAACAGTGCCTAACAAAGGACGATACCATAGGGAAATACAATAAAAAAATTACGACACCCAAGACAGTTGCCAATTACAATTAATAAGATTTAATTTAGTAATAATACAATTATAAAACAAATGAAATGTAATTACAACTGATCAACTTACAGAGTGTGGTAGATCTTGTACCGGTACACAGTTAGTACAATGTGCCAATTAATAATGTACAATGACGAAATGCGAATAAACACATATATAAGAACACAAAGAATAATACACATCTCGTAAAGTTACAAATATCTATCTGAATTTCTGTCCCTCTCCGTGCCTGTCAATCCTTTATAAATGTGGGTCTACCGACGCGTTTAGAAACGCCATTACTTTTCTAATACAATCGAGAACGTTCCATAAGCTACTAGTAGACATACTAACCATGTTTAATTGGCCCCATACTTCAAAGACTAAGCCACGCCCACAACAAACGCTACCGTCTGCTAGGGATCTAATTTGGGTCAAACAAAGTTCAAGCACGAAAAAAATAGTGTACTACTTAACACTAGTAAACCTGCAGGAATGACCATATAAAACTTATGTTTCAGGTCAAGTCAGCATAATATTGAACATTTACAGCAGCCTAAACCCCAATGTCAGATTTATCACAGATCCTGGGGTCACTCGATGTGGTACACTGTGTCTGAGTCTAGCCGCACTTGAGGATAATATGACAGAGGCAGCTGCTGCACCAGGTCCAAGAGAGATTCAGACTCGAATGTCATTTGGAGACACGGAGATTAGTGTTGTTGCCGTTGATGTTGCCACAGGAAAACTTGTCAAAGCCAGTGTGGACTTTCTTGGGAGATAAAAGTGGGCTTACAAACAAAATGCAACAGAAAAATAATAAATGAGACTGATATTAGCAATGATTTCCCTCAATAATAAATATTAATTCTCCAAGAACACTTGATATTGGGTTATTTTGCAATAAATACCTTAGTAGAGGTGTTGTCGTTTACCATAATATACATCCCCATTGTTTTCTGTTTAATTACTTTATTCTTATGTAAACTGTATGTGGTAGTCTTAATACAAATTAATATATTTGGACATCACCTTTAAAAATTATTTTTTAAAATTTTTTTTTATATGTTAGGACCAATGACTTATTTTCCCAGATTGATTTAAATGTAAATAAGCCCAACGTTTTTTGCCAGAAGCATATTTTAATCTCCTTTGTTTTTTTTCATTTGTTGTATTATCCATTTTTGGTGTGGTATTTAAAACTATGAACCAAGGCTGCTTCTGCATAAGTTAATTCAACTTGGATAATGCACAAGTAAGGAAAAGATTTGAATAAGCCTGCATACAAGATTTTAGCGTTTGTTTTTGTGTTTACCATGTTAATGTTAAGAAAATTAAATAATAAGTTAAGAAATTGTCCAAGTTATGTGAATCCTTATGCCCAAATAAAGGGTTTTGAGTAAAATATATAAATATCAATTTATGCTTATATATATATTTTAATTTGTTAATGTTTTCAGCAATATGTAATGAATGTGCTTTAACCTTATGGCATTTATTCTAATGTACATATATTTGTACATGTTTTGCATAATTTTTCAGCATACAAGTCTAATCAGAGGTTTGAAACTTTACGCCGTGAAGAAATATACTTTGCATGATGGTCTATACTTTTTTTTAAATAGCAATCACATGCTAAGAAACAATGTTACAGTTTAACAGGATCTAAGAATTTTTTGTTTTGTTTTTTTAACCATTTTAATTGAATAACAGTAACAGAATCCTTTTTTATTTCCATTTATTTAAATTAATTATTCAAAATCAAAAATTATTAATTATTGTAAATGTATTGATGGCTTGAAATTTTAGTCCATAGATTATACACTTCATTATTATAAACAATTGTGTAATTGTAATTTCGTGGTATTTATAACATAACCTTTGTATTTTATAATGTACCGGTATAATAATAACTACACACTTGTAAGTGGAAGGATTGAAAGCTATCCCACTGTGTCATAGCCTAAAGGAATAGATACCACTTAAAGTTTAAAGTGAGTGTATTCCAATTTATAAATGTAAAAATTCCACATATACAGACAATTAAAGTTTACTGAATTATTCCAATGTTTTGTTTTTTCATTGAATTTTAAGATCTATGGCAGGCATTCAGACAAAATACTTGGTTGTACCATATTTATATTTAAATCAAAGAGAAAAGATTGACAATCTGCCATGTAACTCCATATCCTAAAAGAAATTATTCATAGATCCTCTGTAAATTTCACTAAAACCTTTAAGCTCCACTGCCCAATAGGCTGATTTAATTATTTTATTACAATACCCTATAAAAAAAAAAGCTAGTTTACCAATTTTAGTTAAATTCCAATTGCTTGTCAAAATATGCCGTGGTAGTAAATTAAACACCTTGGTTCTGTAGTTGGGTTTCACTCCTAAAGCATAATTTTAAATTTAAGATTTCATAATAAGGTCTGTGCATTTCAAGCTCTGTATAAGCTATACAAGTGCACAACGCAAAGGAGTCGCGCCCCCCCCCTCCCCTAAAGATAAAAAAATAATCAAGCTGATCAAAGATTTTTAAAGACAACCACATAAAACAATTAAGTTACCTCTTGTTTATTATCACAAATGAGAACCCGTCTAAAGGGCATATACTATACATTAAATGAAAATATTTACACAATGAAATAATTACATTTAGGGTTAAGATCATGTAAACTTTACACTCAAACAGATTGACACTTTCACCAAATCAAAATTTTAAAAAAACATCTCCAAGTATTAAGGTTTACATCTACTACTACAAAAACTCAATAAATTAACTCATGGTAATAGATCAAAATAATAAAACATTTAGATTAAAAATCATCCTGTGTCAGCAAAAACAGCGTAGTCATAACTACATTATGAGGCTTCAATTTTTTTTAAATTTAGGTTTACATTATTTTTCTGTGACCTAAAGTAGTTTAAAAGTAATTTCCTCTGATGTTCAAGCATCCTTAATTAATAAAACTATTAATTGCTGCTGAGTTTCAATCTGAATATTCAAAACTGATGAAATTGGAATGTCAAATGTACAGGAGTAAAAAAAAAAATTGAATTAAAAAATATATAAACCTGGTTACAGGGTAATCTAGGAGTAGGAGCCTAAACTTATAACGGTTGGGTCCGGCTTAAATTAATCAGTAAAAGATGGACAAGGTCTTACATGGTAAACAATTTAATCATGAAATACTTACAGATACATTAAATTGCTTTAAATATGATAGAATAAGTCATGGCTAACTTCCATTTTTCAACCTTAAAAAGTATTGTCTAAAAAAAGATATATTTTGTACACTAAACCCAATTTGCATTTCTTATTAAAAAAACAAACTATTTTTTAGCTTAAATTAAAATTCAACATAAGGTCCAAACAATTTGGTTAAATGTTACAAATGCAAAGATCACTGGTCCAGTACTATTTGATATTAAAAGTTGAACTACACATTTCAGCAATTTGGTTACAGTAGATCCTCGTTAGTTACAGACTTTTCAGTGATTTTTGGGCCATGGTTCTTCTGTAATGAAGGTAAAAATGAAATGGTTAAATTAGAGAAACAAAGAAGAACTTGTATTTGCAACATTCAACTAAAGAAATCCATTTCTAAATTTCCCTTAAAACAAAGTATCTATATTATGTACCAAGCGATAGACTCTTTTCTGAACTTACCATCATACCATTCCATCAGAATCATGCGTATAAGACCAGTATGTAATTGTGGACCAATCAGTGGATTCAGTTGTGCAATGAAAGTCACTATCCAGCTGAAAAATATGTAATTTTATTAAACCTGGAATCAATTTACCAAGGTTATTTTAAATTACAAAGCAGTTAATGAAGAATACCTTATAAATATGCAGTTCAGTTTGGATAGTTTAAACCATGGACAACCTGCATGGATCAAGCCTCATATTTTATGTTATTATTTTTCATTTCAAGACAAAATGATTAACAGTAACAGGAAAGAGAACAGAAAAAGTGAGCTTGAGTGGTCACTTAGTTTTTAAATGAATTAATTAGACACGAACAATTTGTGTCAATATAATAATATGTGTTAAGCTTTAATAATAATTTTACAAAATACACAAATTAACATTTTGGCACATGCCTTCATCAATTAACAACAAAACATTTATGTAAGTATAAATTAAATTTACATAATAAATACCATAACCAAAAAAATTGAAAAAAAGTGTGTTTGTTTAGCTTACTGATAATTTAAGATTCTTTTATTGATAAAAAAAAATGGAAAGAGATATATAGGTATAGCAATTTTTAATTCAACCGCAGCAACACAGAATTGAGATAAAAATAACATAACATAAAAACCTTCACAGATGTTCACACTTTAAATTGAATAGCATATAAAACTGCACTAATTAAGAAAATAATCTCAATAAAAAAAAGAAGAAATGTGCTGATATTCAGCCTAAAGGTAGTGCTAGTGTTCAGAATAATAACCGCATTCTATTTAAAGTTTTAATAGATACTTCAAGATAACTTGCATACCCTGTATTTCTTGTTTTGACTACTCAAAATAACTTAAGTATGCTTTATTATTATTGGCTAAAATGCCTTCAAATCTACTTCTGATTCTCATGGCTTTAAGTCTGAGAATGGATACTACTAAAGTCTAAAGCTTATATTATATGTGTAGATACCAACCAATTGAGAATTACAAAATAATAGCTATGTAATATAATAGAACTCACAAAATGCAACAACAGACTGCAGTCAAGATGAGACAGATCTGAACTATGCTGAAACAATGAAAGAAATTATATAAGTTTTGACATGTTAAAAAATGTATTGATCATTACATGTAAAGTAAGTTAAAAATGTAGGATACTGCTCCCCATTAGTGACATTCGCTACAATAAATTTAAAATGAATTTTAAACATTATAATATATAGTGTAACAAAATGCTTTCCACTGTGTAGTACTTGAGTTTTTAAAAGACTGTTCACTGGTAGCCATGACCTGCAAGACTGCCAGTAGCCTGCCATGTCAATTTCAGGTTAAAAAAAATGTTCATCATGGCCATTAAGGTACTTTGGAAAAGTAAGGGAGACTACTACCAAATTTGTTTCGGCAATCATATTTGGCACAGAACAATCTGAATGTTTAATTTTTTATATATGAATTAAATCAATGATAAGTCCTTTAAGTTGTGTTAAATTTGCCACCAACTTCCACGATTTCACTTTAAGAGGACATCTTGGCCTATGTGCTCCTTTTACCCACATTGCATCCTAATATCAGATAAAAGGGGTTACACAAAGGCCACCCTGCCACATTAAAATTTTATAGAAAACTCACTGGTGGTCAGTTTATTTTTCTGGTGATGTTGCATTATTAATTCATATTCAATTATCAATCACTCATTTTAGGCTACGACCCCCCCCCCCTAACAGTTAAATTTCAATCCCTGTGCATCCATGTCATGGCCATAGACGCCATAGAGGTGAGTTGTCATTTTTAAACTCCACATGGACGTGAATGCCGCCCCTTTCACAATAGCAGAAGTCGAAGATACTTATCAAAATACTCAACAATTACAATTACCATCAAAATAATTGATAATTTGTGTTTGTAATTAACTTAGAAGGCATTTAATTTAAACGAGAACCTTTGAAGAATGTAGGTACTTTGATGAAACAAGGGAGACTACTACTTTTGGTGTATCGGAAATGGAAATCGGCGCCGAAAAATCAGAGTTTTTAATTTTCCGATTGTGTCTATTTGTTATTAAATGTGTACTTTCTACATATATTTGAATTCTTTTTCCAGCCTTATATATTGGTAGACATCTTGGCCTACATTTAAAATTGATTTGTTTTGCTTTTTCAATTGACCTGTATTTTGAGACTCCCCTTTAAATATAAGGCATCTTTCACTATAAAATTCGTATAGAAGTTCAACTTTTATGTCTTTTAAAAAAAGTCTTATTCTGTATTATCTATTGATGTGTATTTGTGTCAATTCTCATTGAGTTAGGACATGTCTCTCACTTGTTATGCTCATTTGAGTAAACCGCTGTATGGTAATGTAGCTCAGCAAAATTTAAATGTTGATAAGGAAGTGGCCATGCCCCCTTTCATTAGCCATTATTTAGGAAATATTCAATTATTTACACTACTAAGATCAAAATATTTGATAACTTATGTTTTTGAATGAACTTAAATGTTAATGAAAGAATACTATTTTAATTTGAGGTTAAAAACCCGGCAAAGTCCATATTATAAATAATAATAATTTGCTGTGTGCAAAATGTCATGACGGCATTCAGTAACTTGCATAATGGCTATCAAACCAGGTCAGGGAAAGCTTTAATTTATTAAGTCATGTGGCAAAGTTGAAAGTTCAAAATAAGTACTGTAGTTCCCAAATAGTATTTTAATTTTAGTAGGGCATGAGTTGCCTTCAAACTTATAGTTATAGACTATATAGTATATAGCATATATGGGTATAATTATAACGGACGTCGTAGATTTGGTAAACAGAAAAGCCATATATTAATAAATTATATTAAATTTACTGACATAAATAGTGCATAGTTAGATAAGCTACAATTTGTCTATAATTGTTAACATTATTAAAATTATTTTTTAATACCGCATTAGTCCTGAAAATAAAATTATCATTAAAACAAGAGTAATATAGCTTCTGAAGCAAACAGCGGAATTGGGTCACAGAATGTGGAGATGCAGTCCATGTTATGACAATGGTCACAATATTAAGTCGTACTTTAAAAATTCATAAATTTAAAACTACAACAGCTAAAAATATGAAATTGGTGTTATAATTCTTAAAAAATTAGCTCTATTCAACTATGACTATGCTATTGGTTTATTTTTACAAAAAGTTTGGCTAAAATTAAGGACGGATGCCACAGAGTCTTTTGTGTGATTATTTAGATACTTTGGTCAAAAATGTTAACATTTTTTAAAAATAAACCAATGGCACAGTTGAATAGAGCTAATTTTAAACATAATTATAACACCAAAATCATATTTTTAGCTGTTGTAGTTTTAAAGTTATGAATTTTTAAAGTACGACTTGGTTTGTCATTTTTTAACATGGACTGCATCTCCACATTCTGTGACCTCATTCCACTGATCGCGTCATGCGCAATGACTATATAGTTTATATAAGCCAAGGCATTCCCTTATCACTAAAATACTGTTTAGGGTCGACTTATTTTAAACTTTCAACTTTGGCACATGAATAATTAATTAAAGCTTTCCCTGACCAATGGTTTAATAGTTTTTGCACACGGCAAACTCTTATGAATGAAACTCTGAGATAGTACTACAACGTAACCGTTATGCAAGTGGCTGTGAATGGTTGCCAATGACAACGTGTTGCACACGGAAAATTCTGATCATTTATATTATGGACTCTGCAGGGTTTTTAAAGCTCAAATTAAAACATTTCCAGTTTAAATGTCTTCAAAATGCATTCTGAAACACAAAATATAAAATATTTTGATGTATATAGTGGTAATAATTAAATATTTCCTAAGTATCGGCAACTTCCGCCATTAAAAAGGGGGCGTGGCCCAAGCCATGTCGAAATTAGGCTGAGCCACCTAATGGTGATATGGGTCACTGTGACAAGTGTAACAAACGTGGGACACGACCTACATCAATGAAACTTGGCACAGATATAGATCAATATCTAATGCTCATACAGATTTAATAAAAAAGGACCTTATCTTATTATTTCACAAAAAATTTTGTATGCGAAGATGCCTTATATATACCAAAGATTTTCAAAATAAAGGTCGATTGAAAAAAGCAAAATAGCTGGCTAGAAATGTAGGCCAAGATGTCTTCCAAATTATAAGGCCGGAAACGGAACTCAAATATATGTGGAAAGAACTAATTTAATAATAAATAGACACACACATCGGAAAATTAAAAACTCGGATTTTTCTGCGCCGACGCCCATTTCCGATACAAAAAAAATAGTAGTCTCCCTTCTTTCATCGAAGTATCTAGATTATTATACTAATTATAGTTGCAGTGAATTAGGGTTTAGATTGTTGAGGGATCGATTTAGGGTTCAGGTTAGGCATAGGGATCGATTTAGGGATACATTCGTGAAATTCGATAAAATAGTGGCATTCATCCTTAAAATGTACCAAAAGTTTTAGTTTTTTAATCATAGTACCTAAAGAATGTGTGATGAATTATTCAATGAATCTTAATTTTAATTTGATTTTGAGTTCCAGGTAAAAAAAAAATTATTCACCAAAAAAAATCATAACTTTCTTTAGAATTGACATACAACCATACATTTGCTATCAATGAATTGGGTTTTTTTTCAAGCCTTATCTAATTAACTAGATCTAAAAGCTGTAACTTTATTCTGAACATGTTTTCCAAGATCTAATTTAAGGCCTGGCCTAGACTAGAGAGAGTTGTGGTATTCTTCAAAGTGTAAATATATATTATGCAGCAAGTGATTTATAAAATTTTAAAATAGAAAACCTTACCCTCGATTAGGAGATTTAGCCATCACAAAATGAACTATAATTGGCAAAATAATGCCAATCAAAGCCCAAAAGCCAAGGATAACACCAAGAGAAACTGATGTGTCTGACATTTTCAATCTTCAGTTAATTCAGTCATATGATGAAGAGTTGTTGCTTCCGGTGAAACTGTAAATCTAATTGTCGCAAAATAAGTTTTCAAGAAACATTTCAAAAAAATAAATAAAAGGGCATCCATAGGTTTCTTCCCTTTATGTAACTTATTAAAATATTTAAAACGTGTCGTGTGCATGTATTACCAGGGACATCGTTTGGGTAGGACAGGGTGGGGCATTTGGGTAGGGCAGGGTGCGGCATTTCCCACACCCCCGCCTAAATTTGCAGGTTTCATTTAAATTGCTACGTAATATGGCGCCTCCAGTAATAAACAACTTAACAAGCCGACCAAGTTTGGTTTTGTCCACCCACCCCCGAAAATAACCTGAAATGATGCTCCTGATTATTGCCTCTATAAATTTAAGTTCTATTGGCAATTGAGTTGACAAAATATAACACATAAAACTGATAAACTGAACTAAAAAAATATAATTACTTTGAAATAGTAAAACGGAAGTGAAAAAATAATAAAGACATCGGCATTAGAACTAGAAGTAAGATAATAATAATTTAATAATTGCAATAAATTTCAAAATGACAACGTAAACATTCTTAGTTACTAAATTTAAAGGGCATGCATTGGAAGTATTCAGACCATTTTTTTAAAAAATGTATCACATGCCTGCATGGGCGCCCGCAGAAAACTTTCTAGGGGGGGGGGGGGAAAAAAAACGAATAAATTTTTTAGGGGGGGCGGCAAAAAAATTTTAGTAATGTTTTAATATAGTTTTAATTTACTGTAGCGTATTTGTATGGTGAACGAACGGACAGGATATCAGCTTAGTTACTTTCTCTTTATTTTCTCTTTACTTTGATTCATTTTTTGTCTCTTTTTGTCTAAAAATTTTTTATCCAATCAATCCGGGGGGGCAAGTGCCCCCCTTGCCCCCCCTGCGGGCGCCCATGCATGCTTGTTTCATTGCAGATTTATTAATTAATTTTTTATAACCTTAAAATATGTAAAGACTAATGCAACAGTTATACATAATATGATGCCAACAAAGTCGTGTTTCACAATGCTTTTTTTGTTTTGTTTTTTTGTTGTTTTTTTTTTGGTATTTAGACGTGCTGCTTTTAATTATAACGTCTAAAGTCTAAACTGTAATCAGCTTGAGCTTTTTTCCAAGTTGAGCAAGAAACACGGGATATGCGGATAAGCGCAAAAACGTCATTTCAGTTATTTTTTTTCGGGGGGGGGGGGGCGGCGGGAAAAAACAAAAACTTGACCGGCTGGTTGGGTTTTTCAT